GCTCACAGAAAAAACTGTCCAGTCAGTCCCAACACTGAGTCTCCCGGGCTTGGAGTGCAGGGGGTAATGAATGCTGGTCTTGCTGTAGTCAGTCATCTTCTCTCTCCCTATAGCCCTAAATATACAATATGATTTAGTAAATTAATGGGATATACAATATGATTTAGGAAATTAATGTAATTTCAGTGCTGTCTGAACAGGTATTGATTCCACTTCAAAAGCAATATGGCAGAGAAGAGGCACAGTAGTATATCAGGGACCTGAAAAGTCACAGGTTCTTATGTGCTGTCAAAGCACAGTAATATGAGGAATGAGCTCACATGGCAGCTAACACAGAGAAACACTTCTAGTGTTTTTTGCTTCTTACTTGTCATTGTTTGACAGAAAAGATGTCTGAAAAAAGGTCTCTTGAAATAAATGTTCCTAGGCCAATAAAGCCTCTTTCTATCCTGAGTATGGAAGAGCTTATTTGCATTAGCACCTTGTGTTGGTAAAGGCTTTACAAGTTAAAACAGGACCAATTTTAATTACAGAATGAAAAAAGTCTTTATCTCTTCTGAGAAACCTTTGAGAGAAGCAGTGGCTCAGTTCCTGGTTCTGACTGGGTCAGGGCAGTAGCTGGAGCCAGGCACCACCATGAGGACCCACCAGTCAGCTTCAACGGAGCCCACCAAGAGATAGGATCAGACAGCCACCACTACATTTTTGGTGGAACATTTTTTCCACCTTCCTCTCAAAGACCTGTATCAAATGCATTTCAGGTGGTTCTTCAGTCTCTCTTGTACTTGGAAAAGATTTGTTGTTGCAACTGAGATGCACCAGAGAGCAATGCAAGGAAGCGACTGAAGTGCTGTGGAGCGGCACAAATACATGTGAGTGCTAATGCTACTCAGGGGGACTGTGTCCTTGCTGTGTGACCTGGCAAATGACAGACAGAGCCTGTCTCATGGACTGTATTCAGACAAATTTCTTCATCCACTTTTTCTCTGGTTGCCTAATCCTTCCTCAATGACACTTAGAGCACAGCAGTTGCTCTCAGGCTCCCAAACAATTGCAGACAGGTTGGGTGCCAGGTTCCAAACAGGATTTTAACCACCTAGGGCTAATACCCCATGCAGCATCTTTGTGCTGAATCTATAGAAAGATTAATTTCTGCTATTTTTGTTTGCTATGCTTTTGTGGCTTTTTTTTTGAAATATGTGATTTTGCTTCCTACTCATCTTTTCCTGCTTGGATGAGGAAACAGCAAATGGAATACTGCACAGCACACCATAAGGTCACAAATGTCTGATCACATTTGATGTACTATAATACCATGCCTAGTGTTAGAAAACACACTATATAGGATGCCTGTCTAACCATTGATCCATCATTCTGCTAAGGGGAGGGGGAGTTAAAGGGGAAGGCTGGTCATTGGCTGGTCATATTTTCAGATGTAGTCTGCAGCAGCATCCTGAATAAAGCTGTCTGAATGTACAGCCAGATTATGCACAACCAATGCAAGCAGGAGCAGCCCTGCTTCAGGGACACAGATCCTATAAATTTGCACTTACGCTAACTCCAGCCTGGTTACCTTCGATAGTCCAGAGATTTTGCACCTGTTTCTTGAGGCCAGCTGGCAACATGTACCTATCTAGACCAAGTTAAGTGAAATAAGATTTGACTGCACTGCTAATGAAAACATAGCATGAACGATAAGGTAACTCACAGATATTAATATTCCAGTGTTATATATGTCAGGAGTTACTTTAGGCTGTATTTATTTATTTTAAAAAACCCAAACATTTAATTGAGGTTTTTTGCATGCTGTTTGTCCAGTTATCTTCTGTTGTAGGGGAAAATTGAGCCAGGACATGAGGCATCAATGACACAACAAGAATCTCTAGAGGTTTATTTTGCTCCCAAATCTCTCTGCACTTGCTTTTATCTTCAAATTAAATCACAAAAGCAGTAAATTTTGAAACTGTAAAAGGAGTGATGGGTTAGAACATTAGATCTGTACAGGATTATTCTTTCAATGGAAAAGTGCAGGGCCCAGTTAATGTTTAAAGGCTTTAAAAACAGTGGATATTCAATATTTTTTTTCTGCAAAAACAAAGAAAAATACACAAACCCAGCATTTTATAATAGTTAAAAATACTAACATAGAGATATAAAAGAATTTAGTCTAAACTATGTCAGAGACATGATTGCAGCCTTAATATTATTAAAATATCCAGATTTAATACCATGAAATCTCTGGTGACAGTCAGAAGTTTCTTTTTTGAAATACCTCTTTTACCAATACAATATTTTCACATGCCTTGTGTTTCTATTTAATGTTGGCTTCTACAAAATAAGCTCTAAGTTGGTCAGCTTTCCCATGTAAAGTCCAGTAGCCCTGATGAACATGGAGTCACAGGATTCAGCAGGCAGCTCTGCCTTGACCCAGCTGACAACCTCATTATCCACTTTTTGAAATATTTCAGCTGTGGAACTGACACGGTTATGTAACATACTTCAGAAAAATAAAACCATCTCTGCTTTTAAGGAGGAAAGCTCTGCAGCTCCTGCCACCACTTAATTCTCACAATTTCTTCTTTCCCTGTAAAGCATGAAAACTAGAAAAATAATATGAGCAACAAATAGTGGTGACCAGAAAAGATCAAAGAGAAATGAAATGGCAGATGAGAGAAGGGGATAATGCTACTTTAAAAAGAGGTACCTAAAAATATTCCAGTTCTTCTCATTCAGCAGCAATCCTCGCATCACAGTATTTTCCATTTCACCCAGAACCACTCTCTTCATAGGAAAAGGGGAACTATAACCATGTATTAAGCAAAACCAACCTCAGTTTAGTGTTTCTGTGACCAGCAACAATAGGAGCTGGAGCTGGGGAGCAGGTGGTCAGTGTGCCACCCAACTCTTCCCCAGTGCCCATCCTGGCTACAGGACTCATGCCCCCACCACCTCCCAGTCTCCATGCATGATAGTTGCCTCACTGGCACAGCGGATACAAGGGATTCTTTCCAATGTCCAGATTTCAGAGGTCGGTCCTGGATTAAGGGCTCATCTCTCCTTTAGCTGCAGAGATTGGGCTGCTCCAAGGATGGAGGCCTTGCCATGGATGCAATGGGTGGTGTCTGCATTGGTGTGTTCAACCATGCACTTTGTGCAAATGCGGCAACCCTGCTGTGAAGGACTGAAATCTTCAGCCAGATCTCTGCATAGTTTCTCATAGATGGACCTCCTGCAGAGGTATCTAGGCATAGAAGTGCCAACATATACCATGATTTCATGTTACAGTTACTGATAATAACTGGAACTGCTCTTACATAATCTCTAATACACTGGGAGGCAGGAAGGAATGCAGTTTGGCAGGCAGAGTGGACCTGATTCAACCAACTGCTTATGTGTCACTGAAATCAATCGGACTATTTAGGGACTTAATTGCTTTGTTGAATCCAGGCCAAAGAGACAAAAAGCAAGATGGTTAAGCTGCAAGGCTTGGATATATATATATATATATATATATTTATATATTTATAGGCTGGAACAGTTTTATATATTTTAGTCTGCAACACTTAGATTAATATTTTATTAATATTTTATTTATCAATATTATGATTCTCCCTAATAGTTCATGGTGGTTTAGAAAAGTTTCAAAGGAAATCCATGCCTTACTTTCTGGCCCTGATTTAGCAAACATGATGGTGTCAGTGCAACATTATTCATGCAGATAGTGCCATTTTCTTAAGAACAGAGAGCCACGAGTGAAGCACCACAACAGGCTGTTTTTGCAGGTCAGAGCTGTATTTTAATATCTACAGCATTTCAGCATTCCTAACAAGGTTATACAACTGCTAGAGACATCTGGACCTAATACTGAAATGTTCCCTATTGCAATCTGTGTGTGCGTGAATATTCTTGTGCCAGAATATTTATTTAAAACTGTCTTTAAAAGAAAGAACAATAAGTTCAAGAAGTTATAATTTTTTTCAGTTGTTTTTCTTTCAATAGCAAACACACCTCAGACAAATAAAAATTAACAATTCCAATACCAAAGTTGACAGAGTACTTTTATTCACTGGTTAGTCAGAATCCATAAAAGATGGCTGCATTTGCCCTAATTAATGGCCCATTTTCAGGAGAGGTTTTAATTAACAGCTGACATTTAAGCAGCACTACAATGTGCTGTGCAATTATCACCTGGCCTACTTTGGTGTGATTCAAATGCTCTTGGAGAAAAAGGCATGATTTTTTTTTTCCTGAAAGTTTTACAGAACAGTGGCAACAGAGACCTAAGGAAGAAGAAGGAAACAAAGCCAGATCTTCAAAGAGATTTAGGGTCAAGTTTTCCAGTACAATCAGCCTCTCTCAGTGGCTGCCTGCCCCTTCATAAGAGGGGCACCCACTCATGCACCTCTCAGCTTTGCCCTGGACCACTTATTTCTAGCACATTCCCTCTCCTCAAATTGGTTCCTTAGCCCTGTAATCAAAACAAAAACTAGTTGCTGTGCTGAAAGAGTTTCTTGCTGGTTCAGTGAGTTCAACCGGCTCTTGGTTCTCACTCCCAGGAAGGAGGAGGAAGAAGTGTAGGACCACTATCCCTCAGTGGAGGAGGGCTGCTATTTTCTCACCTGAAATCAGATCTTATCTTGTGTAGGAAGGTAAACAAGCATATCTTTGTACTGTATATATTTTCTGTGAGAAAATTAAAGTTTAATCAAATGACAGTGTTGATAAAGTGAAAGGTGAGAGCACATGGCAGGGTCTTGACAGCCCTTTTGGCTGGATTGAGGCCTCTATTCTAGTGGTAAGCTCTAACCAGACAGATGACTTTGCAGAGCAAGAACACACTTTACCCTACTTGTTCAAACTGCTTGATAGGGCATAGAACCTTGGAACAGTCTAGGTTGGAAAATACCTTTGAGATCAGGGAGTCATGCAATAACTTCATACCTATTAATTTTTAAATACATCAATATTTGATGGGTCACTGAGAGTGTGAGCAAACACCAAGCTGTGGCCATGCTGAACCTCTCCCCTGCTCTCAGGCCTGATGAATACTTCATTATTCTATACCAAGTGAAACAGCTTCTGGCATGGGGGCCTAGGCTCCTTTCCCTCAGCTTCCCAAGAACACACACTGCAGCCTGCTGATCAGAGCACTTTTCCCAGAGAAAGAAGCTGGTTTGCTTGGGCAGTGTCAGCCCAGCTCAGTGACACTTCCCATGACACTTCTCTGCTACAGGATGTTTCTTTAATTCTTCTTCCAGGCATGCCTTGGTGGAGCTTGGAATCAGCTCTGCAGGAGGAGACCCTTAAACAACATGAACAGAGAACATGTAATCAACACACTATGGTAGGCTGGGTATCGAGCTACCTGGGAAGGCCTCTGCAGACATGTCTGAATATTGTCTGATCGAATATTATGTGGGAAATAACCCTAGTCTTGCATGCTGGCAGCTTTGATGCATGAAGCGAATAGGTTGATATACAAGTACCTAAAGGGTTGCAGTTCTGTGGTATGCATGGTCACTGCTCTGTCCCTAGCCAGCCCCTGACTAACAAAATCAAACCAAACTTAACTTGGCATGCAAGTTTAGAAAGCTGCGGCAGCTCAGGGGTATTTTAGATATCTGCAGTGAGGACAGGAGAGACAGCTGGGGTGGTAGTCTTGTTAGCCAGGATGATATAAATTGTCCCTTCCCATGAATCACAGCTGTCAGGCACCAATGGGATTTGGGAGCCTCCAGGGTTAGGCTGTAAGTAGAAACTGAATATCATGACGTTGGGCCCAGAAATCTAAATTTTAGAAAGAATTCAGAAATTTAGAAATAGAATGCAAGTATCTGCATCTTTGTTTTGTTAGTCTAGTCTTTGGAGTATGCATTAGGCCATCCTTTAGCCTGTTACACTTTCACACAGAGCTGATGATAATTGCCTCCTAAAAATTACAATCAAGGAACCCTTTATGAACTGGCTGTGGGGTTATGTGTCTGTTAGTGTCCAATAATTCCTGAGATCTAAACCTAGATCCGTTATCTATTTGTTCCATGGTTCTGAAAGGAGTTGGTAAAAATAGCATCTGGGAGCTCTGTATGTATTGGAATTCAATATTTCAGTCTGGCTGCCTTCGATCTGAAAGCGAAGCATTGGTCTTTTAGCCAGTAAACCATCAGAAGCTTGTGGATCAGCGATAGGGGATAGGCACATGCTATATAGTTCAGGTGGTGACCTGACTCTCCTAGGTCAGTACTGACTTAGCAAGGCAAGGAGAAAGTGTTATTGAAGTCAGTGGGATTATTTACATGAATAAGCAACTTTACAGGATTTGGCGCTTTTTTTAACTTCTTATTGTACAGTCAAACATGCAGGGACTAGTGTCACCATCCTGCTGAAAGTTACAGCCTGAAAGGGATCTTTAGTGTCTGTTTTCAAAGAAGATCATGTTCTCCCACTCATTTTGCTACGGACCACATTCTGCACTCTGAGTATACCCTAGTCTAATCATCATGTCCCATGTGACACATGGCCATAAAACTAAAAGGAGGCAAACTTATGGATGTGCAGATCAGTTTTGTGCCACTTCCACCAACTGCTGCTAGGTGGCAATATGTAACCTGTGAAATCACGAGCTACCAGCCACCATCGCCCTCCCCTGCTTCGCACCGAGCTGGGACGTGTCTGGGCATCGCTCCGCTCCGAAAGAGGACGAGGCTTTGGAGCAGGACCTGGAGAGAGCTGCTTCCCTCACGTGGATCTTTAACTCGGAGCTGACATTTTCCAAAAACAAACGCAGGGCTGAATCCTATTGGAAAAATTCTTTGCCAACCCAAGAAGAAAAATAAGAGGCAAGCCTGCGTGTTGCATTATTTCTGTTTACACTGGGAGTGTTGTAATAAGGGAATGAATCCTTCTGTTGTACAAAGATAGCACCATCTGGGACTAAACTATTTCACATTCTTGATTCTCTTAACAATACGAAATGGAAAGTATCTGTTTGATGTGCAAAGCTTTTGTTTTTCCAAATATATTATTAATTGAAATCCTCTACATATTCAATCACAATATTTAATCAACTAGACCACCTTTGGGAAATGTGTATTGACAGCTGGGTTGAAAAATGGCTTTAATAAAGGTAGAGAAGATATATTTCCAGACACATCTTTCAGCCATGCTACAAATACTTAAAACTGAGTCATCTTATGTATGTGTTACATATTTACAAGGACACTGTAAGAAAGACTGGCTCATATTTGCATATTGCTTTGAATACACAAAGTGATGTGCACTGAAACAATTTATTTCCCTTGATCTGGCTGCTGGTGTGGCAGCATTTGTTCTTCCAAGGAGGGAAACCAAGGGCAGAGAGGACAGGGCCGTGTGTGATAGTGCCATTTTATGCCAGCTGCAAGTTTACACAAAATTACAGCTTGATGCAATTTGATGTAGGTTGCAGCTGGCTCCGCACCTTGGCCCAGCTGCCAGAGCGTGGGTGCAGGTGAGTGGCACCTGAAGCTGGGGAGGCACAGCGGCCGGGAACACGACAGCTGGAAGGGGCTCACACTTGGGCTGGCAGGTAAAATGGATATACGTGAACACGGGGAGCCCGAGTCTCGCTTTATGGCAACATGGATAGGGAAGCGACCCCTCTTCTGCCTGCGGCAACCGCCTGGCACAGAGAGTGGGGCGGGAGGCCAGCGAGCAGCTCCATCGGTCGAGGCTGGATCCTCCCGGCGGAGACCCATGTCCTAACTCGGGCGACTTGCGGCGGGACGTTGTTCACTGGCTTGGAAAGGATAGAAACACAGAACTTGGTCTTTAGAGATAGAGACTCCCAGTGCAGGAGGCAACAATTTTAACAGCCTGCTCATGCAGCGTTTAGCAGCTTGGGAGCTAACAAGCTCCTTATGCGGCAAAACCGCTCAAATTTAGGCAGAGTTCTCGGGTTTCGGCGACACCCTTCTACGGACGTGGCACGGGAAGAGCGCAGACCCCGCGAAGCCTCCAACTCCCTAGGGCTCCACAGGGTCTTTAACCCCCTTTGCTGGCCCCGGGGGCAGCTCCGGCGCCCGCCGCGCCCCGCGGCAGGGGTGGGGTAGGCGGGCCCGGCCCAGAGGCCGCGGCGGCGGCGGTTCCCGGCCGGGTCGCTTTCCCGGGAGCACCGTCCGCCCTGCGCCGCTCCGGTGGCGTCGGGAGTGGCGGGGCCAGGTCAGTGCCCGCCTGCGGGCTCCACTCCCCAGGCGGTAACAGGGGCCCCTGCGGGACGCCGGGGCAGCTCAGGGCCTCGGGCAGGGTCCGGCGGTGGGGCGGACGCGGTGTGTCCCGGTCCCTGCGGGGCCGCTGGATGCCTGCGCTGGAGAGGGAGGCCGGTGGTGCTTCTGCCTGGGAATGTCCTGTGCTGCGAACCCCCACGGCCTCCGTCCAGACACCTTGGGTCACAATTTGGTCACCGGCCCCTTTGGCCCTGCTCGGCACTGAGGCTTCCCTTGACACTTGATTTAAAAAACTAAATTTGTTTAAACAAAAAAAAAACCAAACAAAAACAGGCCGCATCAAGAAAGCTTTCCTCTTTCAGGACAAGTGCTACAGCGCACTGCTCAGGATTTTGGCATTGTGCAAGGTCAGCAGCAAGAAACCTCTGATGGGGAAGGAATTTCCACCCCTCGGCCCCTCAAGCCTTCACATTTTTCCCCGGGTGATACCATGCAGGGAAGGTGCCTTTGCTTCCCGAAATTTAGCACGTAGAGTTAAGAAGGCAAGTGACAGGCAATCCTGGTGTGCTTCTGGTTCCCAGTGCTGCTGCTGTAGGAGCATGAGAATCACGCTGCCTGGCTGGTTCAGATGTCAGGATGTGGTTTTGGTGTTGCTGTTGGCAGGAGCATTTATGGATGGTGGTGGTGGTGGTGGTAAAGAGAGCAAGAGTAAAGAACAGTGTACTAAGTGGAATTTTGAGCACTTCTTGGCTGCAAAATTTCTTTACAGTTTTCAGGGCAAATTAATCATTGGGAAAGCATCAGTATTTGTGATTACAGCTAGAATTGAATTCACGCTTTTATAGGTTAGGATTTGGTGACTGAAGGGCAAATGGTGAGTTTGTTGTGGTTGTTTCCATTCCTATGAAGTTGTGCATCTACTTGTCTTAGGGGACTCTAAAACACACCTAGTGGGCAGTGAACTTTAAAGTGCTTTCTGTCACTGTTATAGAGGGCCCTTTCTCGACAGGGTTAAAGAGAGCCTCTTCAAAGATTCAAAACATTAAAAAATAACATTTTTAAATTAAAAACCTTGACAACACATTAAAAAATAAAGGGCCTGAGTATCTTTTTCAGAACATAACAGATTCTTGCTCTCACCTTCTGCTGTGAAACTCAGAATCTTGTACTCACCATGTGAGAAAAATAAAACGTTTTTAGGTACTGTTGTGTATTCATGGAAAGGCTCCTTTTTTCAACTGTTTTGCATCCTTGAATGCCATTATTTTTCTGTGGGCTTTGGTATGTTTCTGTGTGATTTCTCAGCTACTCTTAAAATAATTAAAATGTGATTAAAAGAGAATCTAATTGTTTAGGGACAGAGAAATTCACATCTAAACCCTACCCTGCAGGGATCATTAAAAAATACAAAACTAAACAAAGAACAAATAATTTGGAAAACCAAATAGCTTGCTAGCCCCAGAACTGAGCTGCTCAGAAATCATGAAAATAACAAGGGAAAAAAGAGATAAAAGCAGAAAAGAGGTGTAAAGAGTAAGCCAGCTTAGAACTGAAACCACAGACAAAGAGGATTTTTTATTTACAGTGTTAAAAGGTTTTTGTTCCCGCAGTTTATTTCACATGTGCATTATTTGATGCCATTTCAATTAGTTAATATGGACATCTCACTTCTTGTTCTTTCAGTTTCTGGATGGATAAACTTTGATTCTAATGCTGTTATCTAGAAACGAGGAGGCCTAAACCTTTTGTTCTCTCAACAGTAATACAGAGGATAAAAAGTCATCCTTTATAATACCAGCTATTTCTAAAGCCTTTTTAAAGTAACTTCTCACTGAACTGTAGGGACTGTTGATGCCATCCAATTTGTCTAGAGTGTGGGTACCAGAGACAATGTACTAAAAATTTGAACAGGGTTCAGCAAGTTTGAGAGCCATGACCTTTCCAGAAAGGCATGAGGGATCACTCCCCTTCCTGGGGAGGAAGAATTTCCTCAGTTCCTCAGCTTTGTTTAATTTCTGTATTTGTAAGTTAT